GAGTTTTCCATACTGGGACTTCACTTGGTTTTACTTAACTCCTCTTCTGACGATGTACTGGACAATCTAATTCACCTGCATGTATTATGCATGCAAATCTCGATAATGACACTTCTCCTATCATCCTAGGACATTACCCACTTATAGTTTGGGTGCATGTACACCTACTATAGACAATGGGTAGGATCTCAGTCTCAAGAACCCACCAGGATCTACCCCTTTGTGTCCAGTTTCTGTTTAGATATGTCTGGGTACAGGATTGAGAGGGCCAACAAATGGGCATCATCACTTCCATATATCAGCCCTCATTGTAAGAACAAGGCAATGAGTTCTCCTTAACTCAGCTTTGTTTCTTCTGGTCTCTCTTCAAGGCATCAATTGTGTTCTGTGTTTTTCCTGGGTAGACACAAAAAAATCTATTCATTCCATCTAGGTACCACGACAGACCAAAGGGACATCTTTCTAGTCTAGTTTGTGAATGAGTGAGTTTATTAGAGAGAGGGTGACTTACAGGAATATTGCCCAATCAGAGGACGCTGCATCACTGAAAAGCCCACTTGAGAAGGGCAATGATTCACTACAGTTGCTGCCTTGGGGCCCCCTGAATGATTTGCAGGAACTACAGCTGCTCTGAAATCTTCACTACCACAGAATACTTTTGGCTTATATATCTTCGAGGGGAACTTTATGAATCTTTTACACCTCAGTATGTTGTTGTTTTTAATCTTTGACTCTTTGGGCTGGGGACGGTCACACAGCTCCCAAATAAATGCACACAGAGACTTATTACTTTTAAATGTCTGGCCTTAGCTTGACTTGTTTCTTGCCAGCTTTCCTTAAATTTTCCCATATACCCTTTGCCTCCGGACTTTTACCATTCTCCATTTCTGTATCTTTTGTCTTTCCTCCTTATTTCAATTCTGGCTGTGTGGTTGAATGGCTGGCCCCATTTTTTTTCTCGCTTCTTGATCTTTTCTCCCAGATTTCTCCTCCTACTTATTCTCTCTGCCTGCCCCTCATATCCTTACTCCTTCCTTGTTATTTGTCATTCAGCTCTTTATTAGACCAATCAGGTGTTTGGACAGGCAAAGTCACACAGCTTCACAGAATTAAACAAATTCAACATAAAACAATGCAACACATCTTTGCATTATTTATTTAATTGTTCCACAGCTCCACAGCATAAAAATGTAACACCTCTTAAAGTAACATTTTACAACATTTCTCCTTTGTCTAAATAAAAATGAAAGGTTTTAACATTAACAAAGCAAAACTACACACAACAAATTAGTCATCAAGTAAGAAATACATTTACAATAATTAGCCCATTTCGATTTAGCATATTCAGAGAAACTAATTTATTACCTATCTTATCTTAATGAAATCAAAGTTTTACATCAAATTTACTTTCTATAATAACTTAGGAAAATTGCAACTCTAGCAATCTAGTCTTCAACTCCATCAAAGACCCTCAGAAGAATATAATATTACTAACAGCAGAGACTGCTTGCTGCCTGGACAGTCACTCCAAGTTCATCTGCAACACTAGGGAATCTTCTTTCAGACTACAGGTGAAGACTATATCACAGGATTTTCAGTTGAGCAGGATATGTGAAGGACTCTTCTGCCTTGTTTCAGTTGTCACTTTCCTGGGAGTTCTGTGTGTCCAATCTTCAAGGTACATAGTCAAGCAGTCAAAGAACATCCAGCTTCTTTCCCAAATGTCTAATCTTGTCACAATGAAAATAAGCTTCTATGAAGTTTCTTTGATGTCCATCATCCTTTTATGATGTTCATGCATGCTGCCAGAAGCAGATGTGTCTCATTGTCATGAAAAGCCCTAAGTTAATAAAACATTTTAAATGCCTTTATTCTATACGTTTTTGAAGTGTTTGCAGACCATTATCGATCTAAACTATACCTATTTAACCTAAAAATCATACCCAATGTGACTATAGCTTTGATTATTATAGATTAACTATTAACCTCATTTCTTATTTATATATTGCATCTTTAAATGAACTGCATAAGCACAATATTCCCAAAAGAGTAGAAACATATATACACTGTTACAAAATTAGCTTTAAATTTGTATCAGTATACCAAAATTCATGCCAATGCAAAATATCTGAGATTAATAGTTGCCTTTTTATCCTAGATTTCTATATTCCCCTAAATGATAACAAACATCCATAACCCATCAAATAATCAAAAGCCCCCCCACATCTCTTTGGGGAATATGGGCATTGTGTTCTCCAAACTATATCCTGCTGTTGTGTATGGGCATAGACATCTTTACGGGTCCCAAGGAAAATTGGGATAATGGCCAAGTACTGGGAAGATAAGCTATATCCTTTGTAGATATTTATCAACTGTCAAGATTCAGGAGGTCTCATTGTTCAAAACTGATTCATATTATTCCTGAAAGAATCCAAAGCTTCTTGTCTCCTATGGGAATAAAACTCTGAAGCATTTTTGATTTTCACTTGACAAATATGTTTTTGACTTCATATTTAAAGTTAAGATAGTCCTAAAGTATATAGGTTGGTCTGATTTTTCAGGCCTGTTCATAATTCCGTATCTCCTAACAGTTGTCTTTTGCCCATCAGCATTCAAAAACTTCAACACAATAATACACAGACTCCTTGTATATTTCCCATCTAACGTGGCTTTTTTTCTTTTACTTTTGTTGTCTCTTTAAAGACTTCATAATTTTTAATCTATTTCTTCCTATGGCTATGTACAACAATTTTCTTTTCCTTCTTAAGTGTACGTACATAGTAGAACACACTGGAACCTGTTTACAGGTTTTTTCTGTCTGAACCTCTTTTACTGTATATCATTTTTTGACTTCATGAGCCTTTAAACTGCTAAGTGATGTGGTCCTTTTCCAGCTTTGGTGGCTGACTCTGTCTGCTTCTTGGGTTGCAAAAGCCAAGCCTAAAGCTTATGACCTGGTTGGAGATTCCTGATGAGGAGTTGTATTCACACCCCAACTCTGGAATGCCAGTACCCTACACTGGGACAAGTGTTATTTACTTAGATTTTTGTTTCTACTTTGAGGACAGAAGCTGTTCGTTCATTTCCCAGATGACCAGACTCAAAATACTCATGCAGCATCTCTATTAATTACAACACTGCTTGACCAATGACTTAGACATATTCCTGGCTAATTCTTATATCTTAAATGAACCCATTTCTATTAATCTATGTATCACCACAAGATTGTGGTTTACTGGTAGGCATCTTTCTCCTTCAGCAGCTACACGGCATCTCTTTGACTCTACTTAGTTTCTTCTCTATCTCTGCTTGGAATTCTGTCTTGCTTTCTTCTGCCCTTCTGTGGGTCAAAGCAGCATTAACCAATGGCAACAAAACACATTCACAATATACAGAGGGGAATCCCACATCATCTCTCCTTTTCTGTCTAAATAAAAAGGAAGGTTTTAAATTTAACATAGCAAAATTAAGCATAACAAAACAGATATCAAGCAAGAATTACAGTTACAATATTTATATCTATTTTTATCATAACTAAGTAAAACTATAATTATAAATATCTATTCTTCAACTACTTCAAAGACCCCAGAAGGTTATAATATTACTTAAGTTAACAAAAAGGGCATTTTAAACAACTTCCAAAACTTTTGAATTGACAGAGACATTTCATGATCTGAAAAGTCACCCAAAGTTCTTCTGTAACATTGGGGCATCCATCTTCATCCTACATGCCCATAGTATCTGGTAGACTCTTCCATAAAACAGAAAATGCCAAAGATTGTTTTGCCTCTATTGACAGTTTGTCATTCACTTTCTTTCGTATCTAGCAGAATGTCTAGCAAACTCTTATTAAGCAGGAACCCTGAAGGATCGTCTCACTTTTAGGCAAGTTTAGCAGTTATTTTTGTGGGTCCTGCATACCATCAACTAGTTCAGGCAAGAGAAGTTTCTTGCCCATATGACTGGCCTTGTTACATTGAAAGCAAATTTCATAATGAGTTTCTTCAATGCCCATCGACCTCACTGAAGTAATTGGTGCTGTCAGAAGCAGACATGTCTTACTGTTGAAAAAACTCTTCTATCATTTTAAATGTCATATTCTGTACATCTTTGAAAGATTTCAAGAATAGCTATTTATCTGAAATACATGTCTGTACATCTAGACAACCCAACTAATATGACTACAAGTTTGACTATTTTGTGAATGATTATTAATCTGTTTTTCTTAAGTATACATTACACTTTTAAATGAGACTCACAAACACAATACCTTAAACAAGAGTAGAAATATACATATAACAAAATTGACCTTAAAGTTTGTTTCAATAAACAAAGATCTAAACAAATGCAAAGATTCATCTCTGTAGCATATTCCCCTTTAAATGCAAACAAACATTTATAAAGGATATTTGGGAATTTGGGTACAGTTCTCTCCAAACTGCTTCCTGCTTTCTATTGTGCGAGGTAATTTTGGGGTCTGTTGAGACATTTCAGAGGGTCTTGGTCCAATAAACGACATTACTTTTGAAGGAATTCACAGGTTCTCATCCTCTGTGGAAAGAAAAACAAAACCTCTTTTCCAAAACATATCCTTAGACCCAAATTTTGAAGTCAAGATACCTTTAAAATATATATGTTGGCTTAGCTTAGTAGCCCCCAGAATCAAATATCTCTCTGTACTTAGCTCATTCACAGTCAAAAATTCAAATAAAACACAATATTATACATAATACCGACTCTTGTGTATATTCCATCTTTATATGACTTATTTTTCTTACTCTATTACTTTTTCTTCAAGTTTAATATTTACTTTATTATCTTTACTCATTTAATATAAGACTGCCTGTACTCTTGTATATTATAACTGTCTATACACTTATTCTTCTATCCCTCAGCCTATGTACATTTATGCAACACTGTGTCCCATTTAGAGATCTTTTTTTAAAAATCTTAATTTGTCTTTATTGACTGTGTATCTGTAAGTATTTTTTTTTGACCCGAAGCAATTTTTTTTAAAAGAAATGCTAATCAGAAATGACTAGGACCAACTCTGCGGCCCTGCCTGCTGACTCCATCCATTCCAACATGACAGAGGCATGTTCACTGCATCCACATCACCATTAAGCAATTTGTTAACATGCTTCTCACATATTCTATTTAAGTGCTCTGTCTCCTGAAAGAGCCAGAGTTGTTTGTGCAACTAGTATGAACCAGTAAGCCATCTCCTAAAGAAGCTGAGCAGCCTTCACTGCCAATGCTGAGTCAGGATGACCTCTCATAAAGGAGTTGCTGTGTTCCCTCTTGCTGCCAGCAAACAGAGCCCATGGGAAAGAAAATTTACTATCAAGAAGCTGTGCCAAACTCTGTTCTTTTGTGTTTGGAATTTATTATTAAACTATCTTAAATTTTATGTGGATATATTTGTCCACATTGGGCACATCTTACAATTAATATTTCACAACAGTAGTTTGTAAGACTTTTTATTTTTTACTTCCTGAATTTCATTTTTTTCATATTTAAAATGTGTCTCTCTGTATGGTATGCATGTTCACATGTGTCTAGGCAGGTCTGCCTACATTAGGCCTTATCTTCAATTACTTTCTGTTGTTTTTCCAAGGCAGAGTCTGACAGTTGAACCCAGAGCTTGCAGGCTTCCATGATCTAGCTGGCCAGCTTATTCCATGGTTCCTCTGTTTCTGACTTCTGAGCTTGGAGTACAAGGTGGCTGTCACACCCACTCAACATTTATACAGGTTGTGTAAATTGATCTCTGCTCCTTCTATCTACAAGGCATGGCAAGTGTTTACGCACTGTGTATGTGTGCTTGTATGCATGCATGCATATTTTATATGTGTGTGTGCTTGTGCATGTGCATTCAAGTGTGCATGTGGAGCTGAAAGACAAGGGGGAAGGTAGAGTTTTGAAGCTGGGGATTGTCAGAATCTGACATATTAACACACACATGGCTCTTACCCTTAGATTGTCCCATGGTGGTAGAGGATTGGCTAGTGTAAAAAAAAAAGATATCATAGAGAAAATTTATTCAGTGACTCCCTGGCATTAACCATGTGGTCTTGTCATGGTCAGTAGCTGTGGATGACCTGATTATGAACTAGATTTTTGAGTGTGTCACTCGAAGGAGAACTTTGGCATCTTCAGTCACTGTGTCAAGGAAAAGATGTTGAAGGTAATAGGTTTTCCTAAAGTAAAGACCTGTAGCCAAGGGCCCACCAGTAGCTGATGAAAATTTCTCCAAATACTTCAAAAACAATTCTCTTAATGTTGCTTCTCCCTCAGTTTCCAACAAATAAGGGGATTTAATGAGTTTTTTCAATTGTTCAACAGGCACTTGGGAATCCTTAGCCATGACTTCCAGGGATTCATCATCCACTCCAAAGAGGACTCGATAGTGGTTCAATTTCTCCTTCAGCTTCTCCACATCATCCCTGAGGATGCCCACTACAGGAACAGTAGCTAAGAGTCCAGCCTTGCAGGCTTCCAACCAGATATACTGCTGCATAGACTTGTGCTTTCTGTCAATGGCTGCCTCTGTGATATTAGGCAAAGAAAGCAAGAAATTGTGGCGCCTTTGAGCAGGAAGATCCTTTACCAGGGTGTCCACCAGGACTGGAAAATCATAGTCAGATAAATGTCTGTTTGAAATCAAGAAAATCTGTGGAGCATCCATGTTATTCTGACTGAAGGTGTTCACACAGTAGCTTCTGATCTGCTGCAGGGTCTTTTCTCTGTCAAAGGTGCGTGGTTTGGATTCCTTTTCATTTTGTAAATCTATGTCGACCTTGGTTCTTACAAAGTAGTAATTCTTTTTCATGGATATGATTGCCTTGGCAAGGTCTAGTTCATTTTTTGTAAAACGTGTGGAAGAAACAATAATGAAGAAGTCATACTCTTGGAAATTCACTTTCTCCAGATAATCTTTAGGTGGAAAATTCATAGTTCCAATGCCAGGCAGGTCCCATAAAATCAACGTTTCAATTTTGGGGTGCTTGTATGAAGTTCTCATCATAGTTGTCTCGGTTACCCCCACTTCAGCTGCACCTTGGTCTTCAGGTCCCACCCCCCTCAGGCATTGATGAAGCTGGACTTCCCTCCTCCAGACTCTCCAGTCACAGCAATGTTTATTGGGGTGTTCTCAATATTTTTTAAAGCATCATTGATTACTGAGTTTGCTCCTTGAATGTTTCCAATTTTCAGATGACGTTCTATTAAATCGATGGTCTCCTGAGAAATGATTTTGTTTTCTGTCTCAATCTTCATAAAATATTTAATGAAGATGCAAATGTTCAAATCTCCATTTTCTTCATTCTCAGATGCATCAGAGGAGGACTGACCCATGATTGTGATAAGAAATCAGTTACTGAAAGAAGAAAGGGAGAGAAAGTTGCAAAAGATCAAAGATGCATTTGTCCTTAGCACTGTGTTTCTTCACAGTGCTTCAGCCTTAGTTATGTTCTGATATTGACTAGTTCCCATATATTTGCACTAATTTTTTTGTCAACAAGATAAAAGTTATAGTCCTATTGGAGGAGAAAAATCTCATTTGAGGACTTTTCCCTGTTGGAATTAACTTGGGGTATGCCTAGGAAACATTTTCTTGATTGAGGATAGATGTGGGAGATCCCAGCCTAATCTGGGTGGTACCATCCTTGGGCTGGTGGCCCTTGGTAATATAAGGAAGCAGTGTTGAACTATGGGGAGCCAGTCAGCAAACAGCATTCTCTCATTTTTCCTGCTTCTATTTCTTTAGAGTTTCTACTTTGAACTCCCTCAGCAATGGACTGTGATCAGAATGGGTAAACCCAAAAAATAATTTCTTTTTTCAAAATCCTTTTGGTCATGGTATATATAAAAGCAGTAAGAAGGAAATTAGAACAAATTTCTTTTAGTTTTCAATTAAACCCTTAATTATGGAAAAAATAAAACTTAAGTAAAGTAAGGGCGAATTATATAAAAACAGCATGTCCTTTAGCCAGCATCAAGAACAACAAAAACAAGAGCAACTGTCTTCCATTTTATCTGACTACATTGTTGTCTATCAAATAGAAGATATTTTCTCCATTTGTTCCCACTTCTTTCAGTGTGTGCCTTCAGATGAATGGAAATTAAATCAACACACATCTAGTTTTTCACACTAAAAAATAAGTAATAATAATTGACATCAGTGTTTAATCAATGTGAAGTCTCAAATGATCACACAAATCTAATTTGTCTGTTTCATTGATATTTCAAAAGTTATCAGTAAGCCCAACTACTGTATTTGGTTGAAATAATTTTTAATTTTTCTAGATTTATCTTTCTCCTATCTTTTCCATAACTGGAATTCATCTCTATGAAGATTATAAACTTGTAATCATATAAAACTTCTTACTTGTCCTGTTAAAATCCTTTTCTATAATACAATATTTCAGAGTCATCAAGTGATCACTTAGATTCACTATTTCCTTAACCTTTTATTTTATAAGAGCAATCTAACTGTGCACTGGAGAGCTTTCCCAGCATTACTAAGGCCTTGGGTTCAATCCCCAGCTCCTCATCAAATGCAGGCGCTTGTGGATCCCTGTAGTTCTGCTACACATGGAGTAGACGTAAAAGGTTGAGTACTTTCAGGGGATTCTTGATATACAGTGAGTTAGAGGCTAGCCTGGGCTACTTGAGACCCTGTCTCAAGAAAATGAATATCAAGTTCATCATGATGGCTCAGCAGGTAAATACACTTTATGCCAGATTCAAGGACATGAGTTTAATTGTTCGGTATTTAGGTAGCTCAGATCTCATATTTCTGTCCTTTATTCTCTACAGACCTGCCTAAAAGACCTCTTAGAGCAGCACAAGGACCTCACCACTAGTTAAGGAGATGGCAAATCCCCATTGCCACCCTGAGCCCCCTCTGTCCGTCTCACCTCTACCATCTCAGTTCATAGACTTAATCTCTATTTCCAAATCCAAACACAATGGATAACTCTCCCTGCATTATCTTCCTCAAGACCTCCTCGGTACCAGCATTGAGTATTTCATGGGCATTGCTATGTTTCCTGTGATAGTTCTTGCAACAACATGGATGATCCAACAGCCAGACACTGAAGTCATATCATGTCATGTCAATCCTGAAATGTACCATAAGAATCCCAATTTCACTCAGGCCACACATTAGGTATAGAGTGTACATGCTACATACAACATATCTTTGAATATAATTATTACACATCTGGGACATCTGGTGTCTGAATTCCAGACACCCTGGTGTCTCAGTCTGTCTTCTCATTTCAGAACTTTGTGCTTTGTCACTGCTTCCTTTCCTTATTGCTCTTCCCCGGTAGGCACATGGCTAGTAACTTAATGACCTTTCTGTAGGTTCTGCTTTGATTAGGCAGGCTTTAGCATTTACCCCCATATTGAGATATAAAAGTGTACCTGCCTGCATCTTTCACCACCCTTTCACTATATTTCTGTCTCTCCACAGCACTCGCTGCCACACAATGTGTATTCATCTGGGATTATTTGCTGACATCCTCCCACAGTACAATGCTCCTCAGAGAGCAGAATGAGCTTTTGTCTTGCTCATTTCTTCTTCACCAACACATCGTCGATGGAAGTTTATCATCACAATAAACGCAGACTATGATAAAAAAACATTTGGACTTTATTGTGAACATTTGAACCTGTTCTGTAGTTATCACAGGTAGGTGGGTTAGTGAAAACTTAGTACATTTTTTTAAAATATTTTTTATGGTTTATTTAACTTTATTTTATGTGCATTGGTGTGAAGGTGTCAGATCCCCTGAAACTGGATCTTCAGACAGTTGTGAGCTGCCATGTGGGTGCTGGGAATTGAACCCGGGTCCTCTGCAAGAGCAGTCAGTACTCTTAACCACTGAGCCATCTCTCCAGCCCAACCTAGTACATTCTTAGAGAGTGGTTATCAAAAGTTCAGGGTGGGTACATAAACAGTCTAATACAAAAGAGGGAAGTATTTAGAATCACACTTTGTATGAGCATAAGTGCGTCGTCCAGATTCACTGTAAGGCAGCCCCTGTCCAATCTACAAGCACAATGGGGAAAACTGTGCTGGAAACCAGAGCTGAGAACTTTGTTCAGTCTGACTGCAGGCACAGGACTGGAAGAGGTGGTTAAAGAGAATGTCCTGAAATGAACACCATTATTAGATTTACTGTTGAAGGGGACAGTCATCCACAGGGCACAGACAGAATGTCCGTGAAGTGCACAAGCTGTTCTATCTTTTCATTTCCCCCCCTTTATTCTTTCAGTTCTAGCTCCCCAATCTGTGATGCAGACTTCAGTGTGACAGTCGTCTGCAAGGTCTTTCTACTAAGTATGCACACAGCGAACGAGAAGGCTTTGACAGAGCAATCATTACAACAGGAAGCCTGCCTAAATGACAGCTGTCACCACATCCTGCAAAGCTCATGTTCTCACAGATGGAGAGAAGGTCTTAGCACCCCTGCTTTACAATAAAGAAAACCACAGTGAAGAAGATTCTTCAGGCACAGATTTCCACAGCCAGCTATATCAAAAGTACTGTGCAGAGAGACCTCTTCTCCATAGATAGGAGGCCTTGAGATGTAAGGAATTAAATAGTTGACCCTGAAATGAGAGACAAGATGAGGGTGACATACAACAACCTCATGCACACTGCAGAGATATTCCATCACCTGAAGCAGCCATTTACAGTCATATCAGAGAGAGTAATAAGACACAAGCCAAAACAATTGAAAATTTTTCTTTCAAAATCAATATCCAGATCATTTCCTTTAATTCTACCTTAACTTGAAGAATTAGATAAGACCATCAATGATGCAGTCCTGTCTACCTTCCACCAAAGCATCCCAGCTTTAAACTGGGGAACCCCACTCCTTGGGCAAGTTCCTAAATTCCTTGTTATCTATCAGCTTTTTAGAGAAAAGAGATGGTGAGGGTTAGAAGTTAGATCTGAATGCCATTGTCCACTTACCAGAGAATCCCAAGTCCAGTGTGTGCGCTCACTGTAATTCAGCTGCAGAAACCACCCTCTACAGTAGTACAGACTTATCACATGAAACCCACTCCTCCTTCCTCTGCAGGACGTATAGACCTTCTAGGTTCTGCTCCTCTCCTCTCAGTGTGTTTTGGCCAATCAAGGAGAACCATGGATAAGTTGCTTTTTGGAATTGTCTGAATTTCCAAGAAAAGGAAAGTGAAATAAAATAGTTGTTTTTCATTGTATCAGCACTTCCTTACTTGGCAGAAAAGGCTGGACTTTCCTAAAATAAAAGTGGAACAGGGCTTGGAAAAGAATGGAAACACAGAGAAGCATATTATTGACTATGTAGAGAAGTAGCTCTTGAAAGATAAATTTCCTGGTTCCTGATTCCACAAACACAGCCTGAACTTAAGTCACACAGCACATTGTCTGAGTTCTTGTGAAGATGCCAGTTTTAGTCTCACCCAAGCCACAACCCATTTGGACCCCTCTGACTGTAACCTTATTTCTTCACAAGTTTAGATTCACATTCCATAATTCTTGTCATAAGCAACTCCCCTCTCAATCAAGGGATTAAGTCTGGCTTGGGCTTGACAGGTCTTACACATGCTGTCAAAACCATGGCCATTTTGTTTATGGAGCTTCTCTGTAGTGCCCAAAGGACACTGTCCTTGAAGTCATCCACCAATTGTGGCTCTTACAGTATTTTCACCCTTTCATTGACAACCATTCCTTTGCCATTGGAGGAGAAATAAGTATATTCCATTTATGTCTGGACATTTACCAATATCTTATTCTATGCATGCTGGGCCAACTGTGGATATCTGTATTGTTTATCATCTACTGCAAATGAGAGCTTCCATGATAAGAGTTAAGCAATACCTTAACCTGTGAGTATTATGGAAAATCATTAGGAGCTTGGTTTAATGTTATGTCCTTTAGTAGAATAACATTAGTAGGTTATCACCAGGGTGTACACCAATATAGCCTTAGGTTATTGTCCAGATATGGTTCAAAGTACGGTTATTATCCTGTGCAGTAATATTAAATCCAATCAGGAAGGAATTGGTAACTGCCACAATATTATTGTCACTATTCCAGTGGTGGTTGTATCTTACCTGTCCAGTCAGTATTGTGGCTCACAGAGTTCACACCTGGCACATGATTAAAGATTCATTTTTTCCTCTGCTAGTGTGGTTGAGCCACTATGCAAAATAACTAGTAGTATCAGGTCTTAGAGGGGGTCGTTCTTGTGGATTCCTGAGAATTCCTCTAGAGCCAGGTTTCTGCTAACCCTATAATGGTTCCCTCAGTCAAGATACCTCTTTCCTTGCTCTCATCTCTGTCCTTCGTCTTTCTCGACTATCCCATTCCCTCCC